AGGGAGGGAGGGGGTGGTGGGGTGGGCGTAGGGGTGGTGGTGCCATGTGTATAATGGAGGGAGGATGAGTGGTGGACGGACGAGTGGTGCGCTGACTGGGCGCACCGCCACAGCCTGCCTGCGTCTGGTTTACTCACTGACTGATGGGAGTCCGTCTTTCGCTTGTTTGTTGACTGACTGCCTCTTTTCTCCTCCCATTTGTGATGGATCAATGAAGCGTGTCTGTCAATTTTTTCGCTGCTGGATTCTGTGGTTAAGCTGGTGCGATCGATGGCTGTGGTGCGTGGACACCCATGTGTGGTGACCGAAGAGACCTTCTTTGCGTGTGTTTGCCGAGTGAGTGAAGCCATCTTTTGTTCAATCAACATCCATCAACTGCCATGATCTATCAGTCAATCAAATCAAATCCGTTGCCGAGTGAACCGTTGTCTTGTCGGTCGAAACATATGTATGTCTGTCTGTCTGTCTGTGTGTGTGTGTGTGTCTGTCTGTGTCCATCCATCGCTCGCTGCCCACTGTCCCGTCAGGTCCATTCGATGCCATGCATGGACAGGACAACGACCCTCCGACCCTCCCGTCTTAAGCCAACCACAGGTGCAGAGCAGACAGAGGAGCCCAATACCAGCGAGAACGACCACGCAGCAGCCACATAACACCACACAGCGATAGAGACCAAACACTCTGCAACCCCTCCCTCCCGCCCGCCGCACAACGTCGCCCGAGCAAGCAACAAAATGGCGCGTTGGCGAGAGCAGAAAAAGGGAGAGCCATCCATCCCATTTTCACTTGTTCTTCCTCGCCTCCCTGGCTCCCTTCTTCTTGCTCCTCTTGCCGTTCTTGGACGAGCTGTCGCTGTCTTGGTCCCCAATCCCCACCATGGCGTACGAGCTGCCGAGGTCCAGGTCGGGCGGCTCGTGCTCACCAATCACCTCGAGCGCGGCAGTGGCCGGGCTGGCCGGGGACAGGGGAGAGAGGATGGATGTGTTGTGGTCCATTGGCGTGATGTTGGGGCTGCTGGGGCTGGAGGGATTGGACTGCCCGCTGCGGCTCTTGACGCGCTTGGCCTTGCCGCCCTTGCGCGATGGGGCCGACGCGGGGCTGTCGTCCACCGCGAGCAGATCACCCATCAGCTCCAGCTCTGCCGTGTCGGCCTGGGACGACCGTCGCCTCTGTCTGGCTCGCCGCCCTGAGGACGATGCAGATGCCTGGCTGGCCGTATGGGAGACGGCTTGGCTCAGCTGGGGGGACAGAGTGATGCTCACGCCGAGCGAGTCGAGGAGCGGCACGGGCGGAGTCGCCACGTCGAGCGCCGGAGATGAGGGCCGCATCGGCGATGACGCCGCACTGGGGATGTCGCCCGTCGCATCCTCGGCACTCTCCCGCCGACGGGCAAAGACGCTCAGGCACATCATCTCTGGATCGGTGGCCTTGACGAGCTCCTCGTGGTCCAGCGCGTAGATGTACGTCACCACGGCACTCGGCGCCACAGTGGTGGCCGAGGACGATGCCTGGGAGGTCACGCTGTCGCGGCGACCCAGCACAGGAGAGTCCAGATCAGCGGAAGCAGACGCCTCCTGCTGCTGCTGCCGCTGCTGCTGCTGCTGCTCGTCGTCCTTGTCGCCACTGTTGTCCGCTGCCGGCTCTTCTCCTCCAGGCGATTCTGATGCATCATTCTGCGGTGGGGAAGGTGGGATGGATGCTGGGCATGGGGGAGGATGTGACGGCTGTCTGCCTGCCGCGACGATGAGTGTGGCGTCTGCTGTGCGGCTGAGGAGACACAGGTCGCCTGATCCAAGGCGGCAACTGCTTTTGAGGCCGTATGAGCCGTCATACTCAGACAATGTGCCCAGAAACTGACAGACACGTCGGTCGGCAAACAAGAACCACAGATGGATGCCGCCATGCCATGCCATTGGCCTTCCCTGTCTCTCGAGATCCTTTTGTCCTCTCACTTGTAGGGATGGCAGGGCGTATAGTGTGACTTTGGTGTGTCTGAAGTCCTTTGGTCTGGCGGGCGGGGCCTTCTTGGCACCCTTCGACAGCCGCCATGACCTGGCGGGACGGACGGCACACAGGCCAGCACACGACACAGACAGACAGACAGACAGACGGACATAGACACGACTCTCTGTCATGCCATGCGGCCTACGGGGGGTCTTTAGCCACGAGTAGTGGCGTGCCTCGGTCGCTCGTGGGGCAGCCGGCGATGAGGAACCGACCACACGGGGAGAAACACGGAGAAAACAGCCTGGATGAGATGGAAATCCAAACACACGCAGAGCAGACACACAGACATGGCATGGTTGCAGCGGTGTGGTGTGGTCACGGTCAGATACCTACCTATAGTTGACTTCTGCCATTATCCTTCCCGACTTGATGGCGAGGACTTTGGTGGCGGGTAGGGGCTGCGACAGGGCGTCCGTGACGAGCAGCAGGCGGCCCGACGGGTCCATACGAGCCAGGGACGCCTCGCAGTCGAGCCGCAGTCGACGCACCTCCTTGAAGCTACCCCAGTGGTAGATGCGCACCTAAGCGAAGCGAGCCAATCCGAGTTTTGTCGTGTTTGGTGGTCCCTGCTGTGTTCTTACCTCTTTGTAGAGTTGGTGTATGAGTACGCACACGAGTCGTCCGGCGGATGAGATGGACAGGTCCGGGACCACTGTGTGGCCCACGAGGCTCCAGGTGTAGTCGTCACACAGCGGCTGCACACCCAAATCAACTGTAATGAGAGAGACAGACATGCGACACACAGATACAGAGAGAAGGAAGGGGCGACGACTGGTCGATATATGTGGATGTGTTTGTCTCAGTGAGTGTGTGTACCTGAGCAAAGGTGAGTGAGGTGGTGGTGGTCGTCCGAAAACTTCTGGAAACGCAGAGTGCCGTCAGCACCTGAACAAACATCAATCCATCCACGAACACTCGACACACTTCTCTCGATCGATGTCTGAGGATTGCCCCACGCGCTTACCCGCTGTGACGAAGTTAGTGCAGGCGATATCACACGCAGTGAGCTCCACGCGGCGCAACGCGTCGCCCCACACACTGTTGCCCTCCATCTCATACGAACTGACCATCACACACACGTACACACACACATGAAAGCTCACACATCGAAAGAAAGGCACGCGGTGCGCTCAATTGCCTACCCTCTGGCAGGCGGCGCGCTCTGCAGCCGTTCGTCGTCTTTGACGCACAGCTCGCGGCCCGTGGAGATGTCATACACATACACACCAAAGAACTTGGTCACAACCAACAACGAACGACGCGACGGAAACAACCACTTCTTAATCAAACCCCTGCACACACACACACAGGCCGGCAGGCAGGTAAAAAGAGATGTCGAAACATCACGTGAGATGGATGGTTTCTTTGCTCCACGCTCACCGTCTGTCGGGCTCATTGATGATCTCCTTTTGGTCCAGACGGTACCGATCGGCGTGGAACTCGAAGCTCGCTACCACCCGCCCCCCGTCGGCCCCGCCCACCTCCAGCACCTCCAACACATCACGCCGATCTCGCCGCACCGCCACATACCGGCCATGGATGGCTACCACTGACCCCTCGGCACCCTCCCCAATGCTAAAGCGCCGCTCAGCGCACACCGGGATGCTCGTGCGCCTCGTCTGCTGGTGCTGCTGGTGGTGGTCGACGGCGACGTCTACCTCGCCTTCATCGATGCTGCTGTGGCTGCCTGAGCCACTGCTGATGTGGCGCTCGGTGCCGCGGCTGCCACCTGTTGACGAAGAGGACGACTCGTTGCGCTTGAGCGAGTTGGCGGGGGACCCTGACGATGACGACGGCGACTTGGCCACTGAGGTCGGGGTCACGAACACAGACCACCGGCGCACCTCCACTCCCTCCCCCTCTCCCTCTCCTTCGCCCTCATCATCCTCTCCCTCGCTCTCCGTGGCGTACCCCTCTCGTGATTGGGCAGGGGGCGATGACCCACCCTCCTGCGGCTGATCCGTCTGGTGGTGGGGGCCGTCAGCCTCGACCGCGTCAGCCTGGTGGATGTGGGCGAGCATGTCGTGCAGAAAGAGCGGGGAGCGCTTGATGGCCGCCGACAGCTGATGGTAGACCAGCTTGCGAATGCGGTCGTGCACCAGGGCATGCAGGCAGCTGAGCAGTCGTGGGCCGTCCACAGAGGGGTAGGGCGATGTGATGGTGGAAGGGTCTCGCGTGCGTGTGGTGCCGCTGCCCCAGGGGCTTTGGTCTTCGTCGCATGGGAGGGGAGAGGGGAGGGGGGAGGGGGTGGGTAGGCGTGAGAGGTTGAGGAGGTGGAAGGCGTTGTCCTTGCCGCCCATGACCGACAGCCAGAAGGACGTCTCCTGCTTCAACGCACACTGAGCCGGGCTGCTCCTGATTATTTGATCAGGGGGACAGACAAGAGAGGCACACAGACGAATGATCATTCGACCACAGACACAGACTCACACACACATGTGGATCTCACTTAAGGAAGGCCAGGATGTCAGTGTCCTCGAGCATCTCGCACCATCTGACGAAACAAACCACCCACACATATGCAAGTGCGTCGCCACAGCTGCATGCAGCCGATGTGTGTGCTCCAAACGCCCCGCACGTGTCGTGTTTGTCGGCCGGCCCTCACCGTGCAGCAATGCCCTCGGTCGCCAAGCACACGGTGAACGAACCGATGCCAGAGCCCTCCTGGCCACCTGTTGCGCTCGCAGACGCTTGTGAAGCCATAGGCAGGCGTGTTGACCGTTTTTCGAATGACTGTCCCCTGGGCTCCCCGACACCCTCAGCGGTTCGGTGCGCTTCTAACGCTCCATATTGCCGAGAAACCGAAGCTACTGACGCCTTTTAAAGGCAATTGCGTCGCTCAACTTGCGAGCTAAGATGCGAACTTCTGATCTCGAGCTCGCGGCGTGTTGAAGGAGAAGAAAGCAAAGGCGTCACAAGGCTCTTCAGTGGTGCCCTTGTGTTGTGACATTTTCCCGCAAACAACCGAAGCCGACGCCAGGCAACAGCCGGCACTGGACTAGCTCGACTCGTGCGAAGATCTCTGCAATGCAGATGCAGCAGGATCCAGCGACGGCAGCCAGTGGTCCAAGCCTCATGACTGCGACACCACCGCTAGCACCGAGAAGGAGAAGGAGGCTCTGGCGCTGTGTGGTCGGCTGCATGTGGTCTGCGTCAGGCCACGGCTCCTCAGCCTTCATCATGCCGTCAGCGGGCCCATTGCGGCCGTCCACTCGTCCCCTCTCCTCGCTTTCGGTGCTTCCTCCCATAGCTGATGAGCCCGCATACACCGACGGGTGGAGTGAGTGGCCACCCATCCCACCACCGGTGCCCTTCCCCCACCTCCCCGCACACACGGACACCACCTGCTGCCCCTCATCCTTCCTCTCGCCAGTCCATCTATTCGCCCCTCCCCCCTCGGCACCCATCGCCTCGCCCTCCTCGCCACGCAGCCGTCTTTCAGCGTCGAAGGGCGGCAACAAGCAGACAACGACGGCAGTCGCTCCCCGAGTGGACCCCAACATCAATGTGTCCGTGCGGAAGCAGATCCGCTTCGCAAAGCTCAAGAAGGAGCTGGCCAAGGCGGCCGTGGCAGCCGACAGGCCGAGAGTGGCGACACCGAAGCGGTTCGGCAAGAAGCCCTCGAAGGATGCCCTTGTCGAGGACGTGGAGAGGAGGCGAGCGAGGCGGGCGGGAGAGAGCGGCGAGCTGTGGCTCAACGGTGAGGGGATTCCGGTGGTGTTTGTGGACGGGTACAACGTGGTCAACAATTGGGATGCGACTGAGGGGCTGATGCAGCGGGGGGAGCTCAGCAAGGCCAGGGAGGTGCTGCGGATGTTTGCCGGCACATATGGCGTCAGGAGAGGACACATCGTCAAAGTGAGTGGATCTGGATGGGTGGGTGGGCCACCAAGGAAAGAGTTGTTGGTGTGTCTGTATCTGTCTGTGTGCGCGTGTGTGTGTGCAGCTGGTGTGGGATGCGCATGGCCTCGATGAGGAGCCGAGAATCACGCGCTGGAGTCGCCACCTGGAGGAGATTTTCGCAGCCGGAGAGGTAAGCTAGCCACCCAGCCCACCCACGTGCACACGCTGTCACATCACACCACCTCTCCTACCTTCCTGCATGCGCACAGGCCGACGAGTACATCATTCGACAGACAGGTCAGCTCGCCACCGACAACCCAGAACGAGACGTAAGCAGCCCCCTGTCAGTCAGTCAGTCAGTCAGTCACCACACAAAGAATGCCGTCCGCCTGCTCATGGCACGTCCCTGCGTGTGCAGTGCATAGTGGTGTCTGACGACAAGGAGGTTCTCTACCGCACGGTGGGTGCGGCTGGTCTGGAGCACCTGTCGTGGCTGAACACCCACACCTTCGTGCGGGAGATGGAGGTGGCGAGGGGGCAGGACATCCTTATGCGCGAGAGGCGCATCGACCGCAAGCTGAGGCAGCTGGAGAAGACCAAACCGCTGCTCTTCTCCGAACGAAAGGTGACCGTGCACCTCTTGATCAATCTTGTCATGGCATCATACACGTGTGTGTGTCTGTGTTTTGGTTCAGTCGTCTGTCCAGCGGCGAGAGAAGGAGAGGAAGGCGGCGTTGATGCGCAAAATCGACCAGCGGCTGCAGAGCCCATCACCACCGCCGAGACGCAGCATAGAGGAGCAGATAGCTGCGCTGGATGACCTCATGAGACAGACCGGGGAAGCAGACGGGGACGGGGCGTGATACTGATGGCGAATATGCGAATGGAGACGGCGGTCATCCTGCGGGATCGGCTTCGCACGGCGCACGGCGGAAATCTTGCAAGAGTTTCGTCGAGAGGCGTGCGAGAGGGTGCCCGACAGCGCGACTGTCGTCTCGGCCGTTGCAGGGCCGTGTTGTGTGGGCGCTGGGAATGTTGTTTTGGTGAGATGGGCCGACTGCTTGTGTGTCTAGGATGGATGGGCTCTGTGGGGTGGCGTGGCGCGTGTGTACAATGACCGTTTTGTAAGGGTGGGTGCCGATAGCAGATGCTTGGCACATTAGGGGAGGGGAGGGGAGAGCTTCCGAAGGAAGTGGGCTGTGCAGACCGATCTTGATTTACGTGGTTGTGCGTAGAAGTCAACGAACGCATATCGTAGTGACACGGAGCCAACACATTCATAGTACTGACCGCCGCCTTATGTGTCTGTCACGTCGAACACGTTGGCTTGCAGGGCTGAGCTGTCCTCCATACCCACACAGCCTGAACTGACTGAGAAGAAAGTCAGTCTGCGTGTCCTATCTGGTCCTCGCCGGCCCTCTTATGAACTGCCCCCTCGGCACTGGCGGGAACACCTCAACTGTCACATCGCCGTAGACGTCAGTGACACACGAGAGCCTGTATGACTCGGGGTTGCCCTTCAGGGTCGCCAGCTCGTCGAGCTCCTTCATCGACGTATTCTCCATGCCCTCACGGACACGGACGATGCACGTGCCGCACAGCTGCTTCCCACTGCAATTCGTATACCTGTCCAATCGCAGAACACACTCAACTGTAAACCCGACAAATGTCATGTTGGTGGCTGTGTTTCTTGAGTGGACCTTGTGTATGACTGGTACACGTTGATGCCGTTGTCGGTGAGGACGTCCCTCAGGTTGCTGCCCGTCGGGATATCTCCGAGTGTGGCCACCTGCTGGCCCTCCTTGACAACCGTGATGGTCATGAACTGGGGGGGCGGGGGATCGCTGTCGCCACGGCCCGACTGCTCGCGGACGTACTGCTGGAAAGCCTCAGGGGATCCACGAAAAAAGCGCAGCTGCACCTGAACAAAGGATGGATGACATGGGCAGGCAGGGGAGGAATCAAATACACGCCACGCCCTTGTCCTCATCCTCCTATTTATAATCCTCACTAAGTGCAGTGCAGTGCGTGTATGTTATGGTTACACCAACCTCTGTGTCCGTCTTGGCGACGTTCGGTTCGTCAAACAGCCTCATGACGTCATCGAAAGCTATCCCCTCCCTGATCGCCGAACCTTGGTTGACCCCTACCAGCCAGTCACCTGAATGAATGAATCGATGACGTACAAACAGGACGGACGTCACATCACATCACATCAGATGAGAGAGGTGGTGCGTGTACCTCGCATGGCATGTGTGTATGTGGTGACTGACACACCTGACCTGGCTGGATCATCCTCGATGACGAGGCCGCGCTGCCGTACTCGAGGGAATTCACGTAGGCCTGCACAAACAAGACAATCAGACAGACAGACACACAGACAAGGTGGGCGGCCGCTTGGTCTCAAGTCAAGTCACGCGTGTCATCCATCTCCCTTTTTTCCCTTGCCTCTTCTCTGCTCTGCCTCTCACGTACAAAGTCGAATGCCAGCGTGGACGCCCACTCGATCCCCGTTATCCTCGGCAGACTCACATTGAACAAATACCTGCACACACACCACACCGTACGAAAAAGCTTACGCACAGGTCGCATGTAGCCATCATCCATTTCTGTGTTTTGACTCACCCATCCTCAGCGCTAGACGCCTCATCGCCTGTCTGTGGCCTCGTGAACTCCTCTTGCAGAGCGAGAGGGGAGCTTGCGGCCGCAGCCACTGTGGTGCTCTTCGGCGGACGTAGAAGTGATTGAAGCTGGATCGGTGTCCGGTTTGGCGCCAGGAGATACGACGTCTGGAGGGGCAAGAACGGACTGCAGTGCCGCCGCACAGACGAACCATCCACCGGGCGATGAGTCCTTGTCAGAAATAGCGGCGAAGAGCCACGACGGGGGGAAGCGCGAGGAAGCGATGCGGCAAGAGATGCCGGCAGCAGCAAGAGCAGGAAACAGAGTATGCGGGAAACACCCTGCATCGACGCAGCAGTGGGTGGTGATGCCGCATGATCATCTCTCTCCGCCTGGAGGCTCTTTCGCCCGTTGGCCTTCATGGCCTTGAAATTCGTCGTTCACTTGCTCGTGTGGGTACCCAAGATCTGCCACACGATGCAAGATCAGCTGAGGCAGTCACGCCAGGGTGCTCCCTGAAACCGCTGCTGCGGCTGATGCGGCTATCCAAAACGATGGGTACGCAATGAATGGCACACTGCGTGAGAAACGGGGTACGTGTGGTTGTGCTTGAATGCAGGTGGCTAGAAGGCGTGATGAGTGAGGTGAGTGCAGCTCTGCCCCTCGGCTGGGTCGAACACAGCAGACTCAACGTTGCCGCCAGTCTTCCAAGCATGCCACTGGCTGCGGGCATCATCTCGCGCAGCTTCACCAGAGTCAGCCAGGTGACGGGCCTCATTCAGCAGCAGGGAGCAGACCCCGATGCGCAACCCCAGCTGCGGGTGGAGGGCACCACGGGACGCTTCCTACCCTTTCCCCTGCTGTCCCTGTGCATTGACAACCTCACCGAGTACCGCATCCCGTCCATCTTGGCAGTAGACGCCAATGATGACTCTCACGTCGCTCTGCCTCAGTGGTCGTCACCCGACCTGCAGGAGGGCGTCATGAAGGCACTCATCGATGGAGGTGCCGACATCAACGCCATCCCGACCGACGAGGAGGTTGAGGACTGGCCGGGTTTCACGCCCATCCGCATTGCCATCAAAGCCTGCAACGAGACGGCCTTCCGTCTGCTCATGGCAGAGGACGGGCTGCAGCTGGGGGGCCGTGGGGTGATGGGGCTGCCATGGACACTGGAGACGGACCGGCCCACCGAGGACCACGAGGCCACCCTGCTGTCCTTCTACAAGCAACTCATCGATCGAAACCCCACCCTCGCAACCGAGACTGATGGAGAGTACGGGGACAATCCGGTGCATTGGGTGGCCTCCAACCGTCCCGTGTGGTCCCAGTCCTTTATCGACAGCTACCTCGACCTGTTGGTGGACAGTGGGGCGGACATCACGGCAGTGGACTACCGTAACGCGACGCCATTTCACTACGCGGCAATGTGGGGGTCCCACCGTGTGGCTGCCTCCCTGTGCCGCCGCCTTACGGCTGCCGACATCAACAGAGGGAGGCCCAATTACCCCCACCACACCCCCCTCTGGTCTGCTGCCAGGGAGCTCGATGTGGGCACTCAGCTGCTGGACGACGACACTGCGGAGGAGTCATCCAAGGACTACGCCAGAGCCTCGATTCCCCGTCTCAAGACCACCATCTGTGTGCTGCTGCAGGCGGGGGCGGATATCGCCCGGCTGCCCAATGCCACTGTTCAGGACCGCCGTCGTCGGCAGCTGGTGCTGGTCGAGTACACGACGGTGCTCAACGAGGTGCCCCATGTGGTCATGTCGGCCATCAACGCCGCCCTGCGACCTCAGCGCGAGTGGGCGGCCCTGCTGACGTGTGCCCTTCCCCAGATGACCAAGATAGAGCTCGACACACTCTTCCCCCGACACCCCTGTCTCTCCCCCTCCCCCCAGCCCACCAACACCATCGAACAGGGCACATCGGAGTCGCCCGCAGACGGCGATAGCGACAACAGGCCGCTGGCCGTCGAAGACATGTCAGCCGTCGCCTGGCGGGTGGCCTCCTTCTTCGTCGACCCATCGGCACTCGAGCAGACGCCCCGCCCCGTCCACAACGCGACGCTCTTCGGCCGGCGAATCAACAAGGCCATGGATGCGTTTGTGCGCAGCGCTGCGTCGCTGCAGGCAGCGGGCAATCAGCAGGTGGTGGGCAGCGGGGAGGACAGCCAGGGGCCACTGCAGTGCTTCGTGCTAGGAGGGGCGGGCGGCCGCAGGTTGGGTGTGCGCGAGGTGGTCCACAAGGCCCGGCTGGACGAGGCGGCCCAGCACGGCGTTGAGGGGGTGGTCAAGGGCTTCAACGAGCACCTCGACAGCAGCGACTGCCAGTTCCAGTGGCAGCAGCTGGGCTACATAGACAGGCGGGGGCAGTTTGTGTCGCTGGGCATCAACTGACGGTGTGGGGGAGGTGGAGTGACGGTGTGGGGGAGGTGGAGTGACGGTGTGGTGGAGGGGAGGGATGGGGGGAGTATGTGTGTGGGCAGGCTTCGCTGCCTCAGCTGTCGTTTTCGCTGACTGATGTCCTCTGGTGGTTTGGGCGATGCCTGACGTGGTCGCTGTCTGTGGCTGGACTGCCATCTGTGCTTTGGCCTTCTCTCTCTGCGTGGCATGTTCCCCTGCTGGTTTGCGTGCCGTGTGTGTGTGTGCGTTGAAAACACAAAGCAACCTACCTACTGACATGAATGGCTTGACGATCTTCATCCAAACCAACCCACTGGATTGCCTCATGTCATCCGTCAGTTGACACCCACTGTCATGTGATTCGATGCACACAGATCAGAGTTGAGATGTTCGTGCGGCTGAGCATCAACTGACGGCAGTGGTACCGACAGATAGACAGCAGCGAGCGAGGTACATGGGTTCTTAGTGGGGGGGGCATTTTGATCGGGATGGCCCGTGGTGTGTGTCAGGAGACCAACAGACCGGCTGCTAATGAATGAATGAATGACTTGTCCGTCCGTCCAATGCGCTCTCTGTGTGCCCTGGCATGGCAGGTGGTGTGCAATTCTCATAGTCACACAGGCATGTTGATGAATTGAATGAATGGCCGGGTGTGCACAGCACACACACACGTGTGAGTCCCATGAATGAATGGATCAATGGATCAATGAACGCATTGCAGTGAGGGTCACAGTGAATCCATCCATCCACACCCATGCACACGCACACGCACATCCACACACACGTGAGCTGGCCAGCCCAGCCCTTTGAAAGCGCACACACATGCGTTGTGACAAAGCACCACCACCACCACCACTACCACCACCACCCACCCATCCATCCATCCATTCAGCCACCCACACACACACGGCCCGCTGTCTCGCTCTGCAAACCGCTATTACAAACTCATCCACCCAGTCACTACCCGCTGGCCACATATATCTCTTGCTTGTTGGTTGGTCAGATGAGCAACGTCAAAACAAGTCAGACGATGGCTTTTGCTTTCCACACCGCTCACTGCCGCCTTTTTTTGGCCAAGTCAGAAGAAGAACTGTCTGTCGTTGGTGGACATGGCCAAAAAACTTCCGAGCGAGAACTGCCGCAGCGAGTGTGATGTGAAGGGGGAGATGAAAGCTGTCTGTCCATCCATTCATCCATCCCCAGTGAGCGCATCACAGCCACAGAAACATAGCCGCCCTCCAGGGCGTCTCAAGAAACCACGGCCATCTGTCAGTCAGTCACGTGACTGTCTCTCGCTCACATGAGGGGGTGGTGGGCAGAGCGGTGCTTGCGGTGAGGTGAGGCAAAACCAATACAGCAGATATGGTGGCGTGCACAGGCCGGCGTGTGGTGGGGCGGGTGTGCACAGGATTAGACAGGCAGCCAGCAGCAAGAGTGACCGAGTGAGCGGATCGATGGATGGATGGATGGACAAGGGTGTGTGTGTGTCGTCAAATACGTATCAAAGGTGGTAGGGTAGATAGGGAGGCAGAAAGGCAGATAGGGAGACACTCACAAAGGCTCGCAATCGCACGCAGCATCCATCAGCTACACGCACATGGACACACACACACACATGAACAGATCACGCGTGTTACGCAGACAGACAGACAGGCAGCATGAAGACCAGTAAGTCACTTCATCAGCACGCGCCACACACCACACCGCAGCACCTCCATCCATCCATTCGTTCACAAAGCCGCTAAGACAGCCATAGAGTACACCCACGCACACAGCCACACAGCCACACCTACACGTACCACAAAGAGATAGAGAGAGAGAGAGAGAGAGAAACACACGAGGGAGGCCATTCACGAGTAGCCATGCAGGCAGGCAGGCACCATACGCACGACCTGCTTCAACCCACTCCACTCCACACCACACCACGCCACACCACATCCTCTCTCTATCCCCAGGCTGCACTCGAATTGACCCGCTGTCATGTCATGGCGACTGAGCGAGAGCCACTCGGACGCTGGGGCGCCCAAACAGCAGCCAGCACCAGCCAGCACCTCTATCGCCCAGCCGATTGATCGATCGATCGACCCGTTCTCTTCCACCCAATCCAATCCACCAAGTGAAAAAATAGCTAGCTCAACAAGGCCAACGAATTACCGGCACCCATCCAACCACACACCCAGCCATTCAGCCAGCCAGCCAGGCAGGCAGGCACCAGCAGAGAGACATGAATGCATCTCTCTGTGCTTGAGGCAAAGGACCGAATCTCGCCTCATTTCGGAGGGCCGAGGGGGGAGAGAGGGGGATGGGATGGGATGGGATGCGTTCACACAGTGCTTTGCCACGCCATTGCACCGACCAGAAATAGGGGCAGGCAGGCAGGCAGGCAGCGCGGCTCACGAGAGGAGAGAGAAGAGGGTCGTGTGTGTTGGCCCCACAGGTAGCGTAAGCTCTCGCCACGCAGACAAACACTCGGCAGAAAGCAGAAAGCAGAGAGAGAGATAGAGAGAGGGGCATAGGGGCAGGTGAGAGAGAGAGAGAGGGCCGCAGCCGCCTCCCCCCGATCGTACGCCCACGCAGCCGTACAAAACAATGCCGGCAGTCGGGCACGGCGTTCGAATCAGCGAGGGGCAGCCAGACCGGGAGTCAGGGAGGGAGATACTGAGGGAGGGAGGGTGGGAGGGGCATACACGAGAGGGATAGGGGGCAGGGGAAGCCAGCATCAGATCAGACCGACCGGCTCGCTCTCTTGACAAAGGCAGAGCCCATCCATCCATCCACCAGGTCTCTCTCAAACATTGCCTGTCCTCCACGCATCCATCGGTCGCGCTGCTTGACCTTAAAAGAGTCAGTCAGCCAGCCAGCCACCACCCTCCCCGTGATGTGCATGTGTCTGTGTGGTGCAAAAATCCGTTGATGCATCATGTACACGATCACCGACCAGCCCACGGCCCTTCTCTCTCTCATTGCTCATGTGGTGTAGGACGTCTGGCCGCTCGGGGGCGGGGGAGGCGGCTGCACGCCGTCAACTGCAACACACACATTCACACCCACACACCCCATGTGTAAGCGTGTCTGCCTCGCCCGCCCATGTGTGTCTGGTCTGGTTTGGTCTCACCTCTTCTGTTGGGCAGCTGCATGGGCGGCTGCTGCATCCCATAAGCCGGGGGCGGCTGCTGTGGCTGTGGCTGAGGCTGTGCCTGCTGCTGTGGCGGGTACCCGCCGCCCAGCATCTGCTCTCCGCTCTGCAGTCGGCCTCTCAGGAGACCCCCCTGCTGCTGGCCAGCAGAGGGCGACATGACACCGCTCGGCAGCTGTGGGTTCTGCGGCCGCTGATACGACGGCTGGCCACCATACGCACCCACACCAGAGCCAGGAGTCGACGGGGGGCTCGGAGAGACGCCATACGACGACGAGAGACCGCCACTCGACTGCCCATACCGTAGCGGCATCTGCTGTTGCTGCTGCTGCTGTTGCTGCTGTAGTGGCGGCTGTGTGGTCGGGAGGGGCACTCCCTGCCTCTGCTGGCCGACCTGGGCCTGTGGTGGTGGGAGGTTGGTGCCGTACAAGGGCTGCTGCTGCCCGGCAGGAGCACCACTCACTGGCGGAGCGGGGTATCCCTGACGAGCCGGCTGTGTCTGCTGCAAGCTGCCCTGAGACTGCGGCTGGGACTGGGGCTGCCACTGTGCCTGTGGCGCGGGGGCCTTGGGGGGCGTCACGCCCCCTCCCCCGTTGGTGGTCGGGGCAGGCATGCCCGACGACGGACCACCGCCATAGTAGGGGTAATTGGCGCTGGGCGAAGGGGCAGATGGCGCCCCTGTCTGCTGCTGTGGCGGGGCAGTCTGCTGCATGGTCCGGTAGGTGGAGTTGGGCGTCGACGCAGTGGAAGACAGCTGCGGCACATAGGGGGGATGCGACGGAGGGGGGCCAGCCGAGTAGGCCGTCTGCTGCTGACCGACACCAGAGGGCAGCGAGCCGGCCGCCGGCGATGCTGCATGGCTCTGCAGCAGTGGGGGCAGCGGCTGAGTGGTGGAGGGGGGCTCAGTGGGCTGAGGCGTCTTGCCCATGATGCCTTGCTGCTGTGAGGGGTAGGCTCCTGCCTGCGGGGTGGGGGCTGGAGTGCGATAGGGGGGTTGCTGCGTCATCGACAAACCCGACGACGAGCCAGGGCGGCCGGGAGGGGGCGGGGGTGGCTGCAGACAGACAAAGAGGCCAGTCGGGGAGGGGTTATGGTAGGTATCCTCTACGTGTGTGTGGTGGCTGTGTCTCTTCTCACCTGGTTTGGATACTGTGTGTGCGGCTGTACTCCGCCGGGCATCTGTGCCTGGGGTGATTGCATACCCATGCCGCCTCCCAGAGGCTGCTGCGGTTGTTGTTGCTGCTGCTGCTGCTGCTGGGGCGTGACCCCACCAGGGGCCCCATATCTCGGCTGCTGCTGCTGTTGCTGCTGCGGTTGTTGCTGCCCATACATCTGGGCCGCCTGTGGTGAGGTCGTCTGCATGAGTGGCGGCTGCGTCGTCGGCGGAGGCGGGGTGGGGTAGCCACTCGGCTGTGGCTGCTGGGGCCGCATCGCTGCAGCAGCGGCCTGACTGGGGGGAGGGGGTGGCGGCTGGTATGGGGGCTGTGGGGGGTGACTGGACGGTGGGAGGCCTCCCTGTGGCTGTGGCTGCTGCTGTGTGGGCATCATCTTGGGCTGCGGTGGTGTCGTCTTCTGGGACTTGAAGTCCTGGATGACGCGAAGTATCTCGGTGTCGGACCAGCCGGTGCGCTCCCTGATCTGGTTGAGGTCCTGCTGGCTCAGGCCGACCTTGCTGAAGTACTCCGTCGTACTGAGCTGAGACGGGGGCGCCTGCAGCACAGACACACAGCACAAAGAGACACAACACACACACGATGACATGGATGGACAAACGAACGAACAGCTCTCTCCCTGACCTGCTGCTGCTGCGGCGGCATGGTGCCCTGCTGCTGTTGTTGCTGTGGCATGCTGCCCATAGGTGTGGCGCCCACGATGCCCATCGTCATGGACGAGGTGCTGCCGCCCGGTCGTGGGCCGGGAGGCGGGGGCGGCTGGGAGGGAAGCGACGAAGGGGGCTGGGGGGGCTGCTGCTGCATCCCGGGGCCAGGACCAGGCTGTGCAAAGAGGGACGGCGGCTGCTGCATGGGGCGGGATGGCATGGCAGAGGGCGCCTGGTGGGACATGGCAGCCGCCGGGCTGATCGATCCACACACCAAGACACACACAAATGAAGATCAGGGGGTGTGAGTGTGACGATCTTGCGAGCATTCTCACCTCTGTGCATAGCCTTGTGTGGGGTAAGGTGGCTGCTTTTGTGGGTAGCCCATCCCGCCCGCCGCCCCAGCAGCAGCAGCGGCAGCAGCCTGCTGCGAGCTGCCCGATGGCGTCATCGACCCAGAGGGCGCGAGGAGAGGGCTGCCGCCCCTCTGGTGGCTCTCATGCTGCTTGGCCGATGCGAAGAGCTCGTCAATGGTGATCCTCTTGCCGCCCTCACTGGCACCAGTGTCGTGTCGGCTGGTGGTGCGGCCACCGGCCTTGCCGAGCAGCGCCATGACCCTCTGCTGGGAATCGGCGGGCGGGGGGGCGGCAGGCTTGGGAGGGCCGGGCTGCTGCTGCTGCTGCTGGTGGTCCATGGGGTAGGGAGGGCGAGAGCTGCCGCCTTGCTGCTGGGTGAGGGAGGCCTGGCGACTGAGGTGGCTGGTGGGGGTTTCTGACTCAGAACCGCCACCTGATTGATCAAACACACAGTATATGGTGTTCTATGTGGCGTGGTGTGTGGGGGGCGATGGGGTGTGTGTGTGTTTTTCTGTACCGAGTAGCTGTAGTATCTTCTGCCCGGCTTCCTGCCCCTGGCCGAGACCCGTGCGAGTGCTCTTGGACGCTGCCACGATGGATGCACACAGCATAAGAGAGAGAAGTTCATGGGCGTACAGTCCGTGTGTGTGTGCGACTCGGCTGGTTTGTCTGTCTGTCTGTGGTCTTTCTTACAGAGCAGTCCCATGATTTTGCTCTTGGCGTCCTCGGGCTGCGGCCTGGCGGTGGGTGTCTGGCGGGCCATGAAGTGGTGCTCCAGGTCCTCAGCATACACACCGGAACCCTTGGACGTCACGCTCGAGTCGTGCTGACAGACAGAGGAATCGACAGAGGAGGGAGAGAACACATTAGAGGGAGGGAGGGCGGTGTGGTGTGTTTGCCTGTTGGTTTGGTTTGCCGCCTACCTACCTGCATGAGTGCGGCGATGTTGCCTGGGAGCTGTTGTGTCCTGACTTTGTTGTCCATTTGGTCGTGCTGCTTTGCCACCATGGCGATCTGCTTGCGGAACAACTCGCTCTGCTGACGACGGGGAATGTCCATCTCACCTGATATATGGATGGATGACAGACACCCAACGGGTGGATGGATTGATTGATTGATTTGAGGCAACAAGCCAACAAGTGTGTGGCGGTGTGCCGTCTCACCTCTGGGTGAGCCTTCGTGTTGCTTCTGTGCGTCCTGCTGGCCGCCTCCCATAACCATTTCCATTATGTGCCGCCCGCCGGCGTCGTGGTGGCCTCCGCCACCGGCCTTCTGCACACACCAGACAGACATCCACACACACACACACAGGGTGATTGCTGCGCCAGCCATGTCTGTGCCTCTCTCTGCTTTGTCGCTCGCTCCCCTGCTCACTTACCCATTGCGAGAAGAGCCTCGACCCAGCAACCACCTGACGAGAAAGCACACACCAAACAGACACCGACAAGCATGAGGCACACCCGTTGACACACACACACACACACACACCTCGTCTGAGTCTTCCTCGACGAAGATGGGTTCTTCCATTGGCGGCAATGGTGGCGGCGGGCCGCTGGGGGGCGCCGCGACGGGCGAGTAGATGCCCATGTGGTTGAGGGGTCGTGGTGGGGGCGGCTGGGAGGGTGGCTGGGGCGGCGAGGGCATCATGATCTCGCCCTTCTGCACCGCCTCGGCGTACTTGTTGATGGAGAGGCCCTTCTCCTTCATGGCCGCCTCAGCCTGGCGGATGTCGCCCAGGTGAAAAATCCCACTCACATCCATCGGACTGCAACCACAATGCATTCACGAGCAATGTTCATAAGTTAAGACCACATCGTATCGTATTGTGGGTGTGGTGTGTGTTGTGGGTGGGTACCCTTGTCCGGGTTCGGGTAGGTCCCACATGTCCCCTCCGCCGCCGTCGTCATCGCCCCTCCTGTGGTGGCCGTGGCCGTACCTGTCGCGCCGACCCTCGCCCCGGCTGCCATGGTGCAGGTAGCCGTCCTCGTGCTGCATCATACCGTCCTTGTCCACCTGAGACTTACACACAGAGAGGAGGTTTCGTGTCGATCTGCCTCAGTGTGTGCGCCGACTAGCTGGCTCACTCACCCTGGGGACGTATTTCTTCATAGGCTCGTTTCCCCTTCTGTTTTGGTTCCTCCTGTCGGCCTCCTGGCGGTCCCGCTGCTGCTGCGCCAACTCGGGAGGGGTCGGCAGCAAACCAGCACCTCCATCAACCACACCACCTATCGACGGCCGCCTGCGCGTGATGCGGCGCGGACAGAGAGAGAGAGGAAGCATTAATTCGGTAGATGAGATGCGTGTGGGATGTGATGTGATGTGCCAGATGCGATGCAGCGGACGGACGGGCGCACCTTTCTCCTTCTTTCTCGGCGTAGACCTGTCGTCTGCCGTCCTGTTGGCGGCGGCCCTCCCTCTCCCTCTCGGCCTCCCGCCCCTGACGCTCGTCACGCCGACCACCACCTGCACCCGCAGCCGGGCCACGGTCGGTCTTCTCAGGCACCTCCTCCCTGGGTCACATGACACAACACACGCAAACATAGATAGCCACATGCAGCTGTCATCGGTGTCTGAGTGGACGCATTCGGGTACTTGTCTTTGTCCGGTTGTTGTCTGGGTTGGATGGGCTTCTCGCGGTTGACGACTCGTCGCTTCTCGCTGGGCCCCGCCTGGCGGCCGGCGGCCGTCTGCGGCTCGGGGGCCTTCTCGGGCACCGAACCCTCAGAGCCACCCTTCCTGAAAGGTGGAAGGAAGAATACCAACATATATCATCCATCGGATGCATGCATGGGGGGGAGCGGTCATGGCATGTGTGTGTTGTCGCACTCACTTGTCGGGATCGACTTTCTTCCACATAGTCCTGCTGCCCTCGTTCTGACGCCCGCCGTCACGGTCACCCCTGAACAGACAGACAGTCGCTATCTCAGTCGCTCCCCTTTGTGCCTGCGTATGCACATGACATGCGCACCTGCCCTCTTTGCCCTCCTCATCCCCCGCTGTGATGAGTGCCCCGGGCGCCGCGCCCAGCAGCCCACGGTCGTCATGCTCACGGGGCGGTGGCGGTGGCGGCATCAGCCCGCGATCACGGCGGCCTTCGGGCGGGGCGTCCCAGTAGTCGTCATGCTGCTGCTGCTGCTGCTGCTGTTGCTGCTGCTGGCTGCGCGACTGGCGTGAGCGGCGGTCCCGCTGGTCATCCTCCTCATCGTGATCTGAGTCCACCCACACAAGGCAGACCGAGAGAGGGACAATGAGATGAGATGGATCGCTGTGTGGCAGATCTAGATGTGTCGTCCGCCCGCCCACCGTATGTATCTCTCCTTCCGCGGTAGTCTCCCCTGCCGGGGCCCCCTCTGCCGTCCCGCGGCTGGCGAACACCGTTGTCCTCGTCACGGTCGCGATACCGATCGTCACTGAGCGAGACAGAAGGTGCAGTGCATCCCATCCACTCCTCCGTGTTGGTTGTATCTATCTGTTTGTGGCGGTGTGTCGTCTGCTCTGCTTACTGTCTGCCGCCGCGCCTGCCGTCCTCGTCTCCCTCCCTGTATCCGTCCCTCGGCGACCGCCGTGGTCGGTACTCGCGGTCACGGTCACCCTCGCGATAGATGCCCGGCGCTGGGCCGACTATGCCCTCACCTATACGCCATAGACACACATGCGGTGCACACGAGTGAGGGAGGGAGGGAGGGAGGGAGAGAGCCTTGGCCTTGTGTGCGTTGAGTGAGGTGTGAGGATTCCTTCCTACCTCTGAATCGTTCTCGGTCTCCTCTGTCGCCCCTGTCTCTATTGTCGCGGTCGTGTTGGTCTCGGTTGCGGTCGCGGTTGTCCCTGTCCCTGTCGCCTCGCTGTCGGTCCATGCGGCCGCCGTGGGGCGGACCCTCGCCCTCCTCATCCCCAGCCGCGTCGCTCTCGCGCCTCATTCGGTGTCCGTGGGGCGGCGCCATCTTGGGCACGTGGTGGTCGCTCCGACCCTGACGCTGGCCCTGCACGCGGCTAACCGGCTCGCAATCCCTGGGACAGACACACACACGCACACACAAGGGCACAGTTGATTGATGAGTGGAATGGTGTCGTGTGCCTGTGGTTCGGGAGGGAGCTGAGCTTACTTGTCGACGTATTGGTGGAGGTTGGCGGGTTTGATCTTGCATTGCGGCAGCTGGCCGATCTTCTTGAGCTCCTCGATCGTGTAGCGATACACAAGGGGCCGCTGTCTGCCCGCCCCGCCACCTGCACCACCCTGCTCGTTTTGCGACGCACCACCAGAAGCAGCAGCAGCAGCGGGAGCGTCCTCCGCCTCCTTGGGCATCGACCCGTTGATCTCCGTGGCTTGCGGGCCGCCGCCTCCCTCGCCGGGCGAAGACGTCTGTGCCTGTGGCGATGTGGGTTTGTTGCGCAGGAGGCTGAGTAGAGCGGCGCCCGAGTTGCCGCCCTTGACGGAGAGGGGTCGTATGCCGGTGGTGCGGCCGCTCCTCTCGCCCTTCTTGGGGGTCGTGATGCCGTTGGGCGGGGTGGGTGTGAGGGTGATCGGGGGAGGGTGGCTGGGACTCTTGTCAGACGGGCCCGACGAGGCCGGCAGCGGGGTGGAGGAGCTGCCCTTCTCGGGCGGCTCCTCAGGCTTGGCCAGGTGGCCAGGGGAGCTCTCGTCGGCTGCCTTGGCCGCCTCGCCCGTCGACGTCAGGTCGGCCGACGATGACCGCTCGTTCTTCGTCGGAGCCTCGATGGTGATGCTCTGATCACTGGCAGGGACCGGGGCTGGTGGTGCCGCTGATGAGGCCTCGGCTGTCTCGTTGTCTGGCTTGGTCTCTTCGCCGGCCTCTTGTAAAGCCTCCGATGGCTGCTGCTGCTGCTGGTTGCCCTCCTCCTCTGGCTGGGTCTTGTTCTCTTGTCCATTGGCATCGGCTGTCACGCCAGCTTCAGCTTCAGCTGCTTCCTCCGTCTTGCTTTCTTCTGCAGCCGGTGGTGGTGCGCTGGCCTCCTCCTCCGCGCCATTGTTGCCCTCCTCCGGCCCTGGTTCTCTCTCTTGCCCTTGTTGCTGCTCCTGCTCCTGCTCCTGTTTGCTCGCCTCGGTGGCGGTCACATCGGCCGTGTTGGGCTCTGCGCTGGCGCTGGCGACCACATCGCTCTCACCGCTGGCACTGATGGCTGCCGGCGGCGATGCGCCGGTGCTCATGTCGCTGGCGTCGGCCTTCTTGTCAATGTCGATGAGCTCCACCGATGGGACGGAAGGGCCGCTCGCCTCAGGAGACACCCCGTCACCCTCCTGTGTCTCGGGCTGGGCCTCATCGAGCGACGTGACCGTGCCGCCATCGCCACCGGCGGCTGCCTCTTGACCCTCAGGCTGTCCACTGTCGTCTGGCTGAGAGGCAGAAGATGCTGGTACGAGTGGACCGCCCGTCTCATCCTCGTTGGCAGCAGCGGCCGCCGGCTCGCTCTCGGCCTCCTTGCCGCCCTCCTCCGCCTGTTGTGACTGCAGGTCCATAGCGGCGGCTCCTTGTTGGTCCGTGGTGGGTGGTTGTTGGTCTGTGGTCTCGGACACGCTAGTGACTGGCATTGGCTCGCTGTCCGCTGCGGTCTCGGCCATGACCGTCTCCTGGCAGTCTGGGTGTCTTGGTCAAGTCGGTCCTGGCGTGCGGTGTGTCAGATCACGGGAAGCGGGAGGAAGATCCACATCTCGTGGGTGCGGGGGTCGAGTATTGCGGCTGGCTTGATTCAAGCTGACACCTGGCGCCTGAGTGCCTCTCCCCGCTGTTGTTCGGCTTCCCAAAAAAAGTCGCTTCCTCCTTCCAACCCATTTGCGAGCTTGGATTGCAGATCTGGGAAAGAGAGCGCGAGGATGCGAACAGCGAAGAGGATGCGGTTTCAGACACCAGCCCGGTAGACTAGCCACATCACATCCTATCTGTCTTGTCAAGAATGTTCGGCGAGACGTGCGCGGGGTTCTGGGAGTGCACGCGGGCGTACGCGTTGGGAGTGGTGTGCCTGGCGACGTTCGCGGTCTTTTGCGTGGTGCTGTGGAAGCTGTGGAAGTCGTTCCATCCAGTGGGGACGCCGGACCTGTGTGTGCTGTACCTGTCGGCGGCTCAGACGCTGCTGGGGTTCGTCTACTACGGCGTGCGGGAGCTGGTGGAGATCGTGCTGCTGCAAAGGGCCCTCAAGATCTTCCAGGCAACACTCATCTCTTGGCTCTTCGTCGCCGGATGCACCACCAACCCAAGAGTCCACAAGTGGGACTGTCCTCAGTTGAATGATATGCTCATGGATTGTGTGTGTCTGTGTGGCGTGCCGTGTGTCCATTGTGTCAGGTACATCCACACGGTGTTTGTGTGCGTGTGTGTCTACACGCTCCTCCTCTACCTCTACATCGTCGTGGTACGCTGATGTATGCTATGCGCCACGACACTCTTGTTGCTCTCGATCCACTTGTGGCTGCATGTTTTGTGTGCTCGCCTTTTGTTTGGTTCAGTTTCGCGAGCCCGACGACGCGGTGTGCAGAGGTGGGTGAGGGAGGGAGGGAGGGAGGGAGGGACACAGAGAGCGCTGTGGAACCTCACTCGCTGATTTGACCTTGGTCTGCAGACAGCAATTGGCTCCTGCTGTCGGCCAGCTGGCTCATCATTGCCTCCCTCGTCCTTGTGCTCGGCCTGCGAGCATTCAGGCAAGCCACTGACCCATGGCCTGCAGAGAAAGCTTTCCGCATGCCGTCAGCCTGTTTGTCTCCCTGTACTGCAGACGTTTTCTTCACCTTCAGAACATCTTCCCTTTGGCGCCGACCTTCCAGGAGGCGGCGATGGAGGTGACGGCCGACGGCACCGACGACTCGGACACCACCCACTACTATCCCCACCATGACTACATCCAGGCATCCACGTCTTCGCGCAGCGGCAGCATGGAATTCGAAAACACCAACCCCATACAGCAGCAGCAGCAAGGAAGAGGCTTGGGCGCCAACCCGCCCCCCTCCCCCCCTCCCACACACGATACCATCCCCACAGCCAGCGCCACCCACACAATAAACAACAGCCACGACGACACAATAGCCGACCACACAGGAGCAGCAGCCGTGATGAATAGCCACAACCACATCCCCAGCCCCAGCCCCAGCCCCAGCGGCAGCGACAAGACAGCCAAGGTCGCTGGTGGCGGTCCCGTCGTCGACTGGCTCGCCCGGTGGGGGTCGTCTGACAGCTGTCAAGGTCCACTGGCTGCAGACGACGACGAGCCGCTCGATGACCACCGGAATCATGTGGATGTGGAGGTGGAGTGGGGACTCAAGCGGCCATCCGACGCTCGGGGAGGGCCTGAGGGAATGTCGGCGCTTCCGTCTCGGCATCTGCCGACCATCGGTGCGCCTCGCCCGGCGAGGTCAGAGAGCGACGGGTCGATGGACTGGGGTGGTCACCGCGGTCGCAGGAGGAGTGTCGGGCCCAGGACGAGCGAAGAGCGATTCCTCGGTCGGTCGGTCGATTGGTAGTGGATAGATACCAAGGCTGGCTGGCTGGCTGGCTTATCCGAGTGTGTGTGTTGTGTGCGGTGTATCTATCGTATCGGTCAGGTCAGAAGCGAAACCAGCTGTTGATACTCGTGACAATCGAGGCGCTGTCAGCACTGGTATGCATGTATTGTATGTATGAGGCAGACAGGCAGGCAGGTACACAGACAGATGCATAAACAATCGGCTGGCTGTCTGTTCGTGTGTGTCTGCTGCAGATAACGGTTGTGTGGGACGTCGTGTTGCTGACGCAGATGCGGTACGAGAAGGAGAGCCACTGCGAACACTTCCTAAATGTATGTAGCCATGCACACACACACACACACACACACACAAGGCCCACACACACGACCAAGTGGCGTCGCCTGTCACACACTGCAAGGGTGTCTTGTTTGTCTATTTCGGCTCTTGTTGCAGCACATCCCTCCATTAGAGGTGTTCGTGTACATCGTCACGAGGCTCTTCGGCCTGCTCGTGCCGCACTGGGCCGTTCTATACGTCTTCTACTGGTACACACACACACACACACCACCGCCAGACAGGATGGATGGATGGATGGCACTGATGTGCTCATCGATGGGCCTGTGTATGTGTTGGTGTGTTCACACGTGTGACTGACTGACAGGGTGGACCGTCAGCTGCACGAGCCGTTTTCCCGTGCGTGGGACGTCAACCTGCTGGGCGTGGAGATGCGGCCGACGGCCGAGGGGCAAGGGGGGGTCACCCTGGTGACCACCAGGCCGCAGCCGCCACTGCAGGAGCTGGCGCGAGAGGCCTACGACCGGTCATCATCCTCCCCGACGGCCGCACTGCCGGAGCCTCACTATGTCCGCATCACCGACTGAGGCAGACAGACAGACAGACAGGAAGAGTGGTGTGTGTAGGTCATTTCGTGTGAGGAGGTCATTTGGTGTGTTGTGTTGTGTCGTGCTTTGTGTCATTTCAGATGGATCGGTCAAGCTTCGATGAGAAGGCATTCTCGCCGTGAATGCGACCCCTGCAGGGCGGAGTTGAGTTGGCCGACAGACAGACAGACAGACAGGGGGGG